TTCCTTCCTTCCTTCCTTCCTTCCTTCCTTCCTTCCTTCCTTCCTTCCTTCCTTTCTTCCTTCTTCCTTCTTCCTTCCATCATGCCTGGCGTAAATGCCTTTTTTTATAATTTTAAGTAACTTTGAAAAATAAAGCCAAAGCTGGGCATGGTGGCTCATGTATATAATTCCAACACTCAAGAGGCTGAGGCAGGAGGATTGCTGTGAGTTAGCCAGCCTGGGTTATGCTGTGAGTTCCAGCCCAGCCCAGCATGAGACTAGGTCTTTAAAAGAGAATCCTGTCAAGCAGGGATGTGAACTATGGATCAGAGTATACCATGGTAGCAAAGTAAAGGGATCCTCGTTGCATGGGAAGTTAGAGGAGAGTCGGACATGGTGAGCTTGGTTTCTGGGAAGGTGACACTAACTTCCAGATTCCTACGTGTTCTCATCAGGAGGACAGTGCTGGCCTCACCACGCTGGCCCCGATACTGTTGGCTGGAGCACTCACTCCTAGGCTCTCCTTCCATCCTCACTTTCACTCCCAGTCCCCTCTCCAGGGCAGCCACAGCATGACTGGACTCACTTTCTTCCTCCTCCAGCCGCTTCTCGAATGATCACCAACAGCCTGAACCATGACTCTCCACCACACACCCCCCCACGGCGCTCAGACACCAGCACCTCCAAGATCTCTGTCACCGTGTCCAACAAGATGGCGGCAAAGAATGCCAAGTCTGCTGGTGAGGGCACCTGGGCAGGGGTTTGGGCGGAGTTGCAGGGGAAGGTGTGTGTTAAAATTACTTGTTGAGTGTACTGGCTCACACTTATAATACCAGCCCCTAGGAGACTGAGGCAGGAGGATTGCTGTGAGTTTGTACCAAGCCTGGGCTGCAAGCTTAAGTCCATGTCTCATAAAAATAAAAAAGACTCAGGAACTGGACTTTGGCTCAGTGGTAGAGTACTTGCCTAGCATGCATGAAGCCCTGGGTTCAGTCCCCACCACAAAAGTGTATAAACATGAAAGCCAGTAAATGTAAAAGCTGGGCAGGATGGCGCTCAGTAAGCAGCGGCAGAGCGGCCTTCAGAGCTCAAGGTTGGCGCGGTCCCAGTGAGAGCTTCAGGCTCGCTAGAGTCCCAGCGAAGCGAAAGGAGAAGCAGGAAGTTAACAGCAGGGAGGAGCTGAGACACTGGGGACCCTGAGGTGAGGGGCTGGCGCGTCCTCCTCCTAACACTGGGGCAGCTCTTTCTCAGGTGAAGCATGACGTAAGGTGTGCTAGAGTATGCTCTTAATCCTAGGAGTGGGAAGGCTGAGGCAGGAGAATGACAAGTTTCACACCAGCCTGGACTGTTTAATTAGAGCCTGCATCTTTTTTTTCTTTCTTCAAGACAGGGTTTCTCTGTGTAGCCTTGGCTGTCCTGGACTCACTTTGTGGACCAGTCTGGGCTCCAACTCACAGAGATCCACCTGCCTCTGTCTCCCAGAGTGCTAGAAATATAAGCGTGCACCACCAGGCCCGACACTAGGCCCTGTCTTTAAAAAAAAAAAAAAAGTATAATTTAGGGTTGGCAACATGGCCCAGTGAGTAAATGCTTTTGCTGCCATTCTTGATGACCTTAGTTCAGCCTCTGGAATTCACATGGTAAAGGGAGAGGGCCATGTGTGTACACATACATTAATATATACATACATATATAATGTTTCCTTAGTATAGTATGTGTATGGTATGTGTGTTTTGTTTGCACGCATGTCTGTATCACAAGGATGCCTGGTGCCAGCAGAAGTCATAGCATATCTGATCCTCTGGAACTGGACTTACAGATGGTTGTGAGCTGCCATGTGGGTGCTGGGAATTGAACCCAGGTCCTCTGGAAGAGCTCTGTAACCGTCTTTCCAGCCCCAATCCATATATTTTTTTTAAAGTATAATTTAATACCGCACAATGCCTAAATGGCAATATGGACCTTGATTACTTGTTAAAAAGTGAGTGCACAAAAAGAAAAGGCAAAAGCGCAGTTGTGAAAGCAGCACAGTGGGGTTTGAGGAGCTGCCTTCCCCAGAGGGTTCCACCATCCAGCCATTGGAGCAGGGCGTGGTGCTCCCTGGAGGGTCTGGGGAGTTACTACTGCTTTGACTCCCAAGCACATGGTGTGGTTTGGTCGCCACAGAACATCCTCAGTGGCTCAGTCTGCTGGTGGGGACAGCAGTGCACATGAAAGACCAGTCACATGAGCAAAGAGAGGAAAACCAGTGGTGGGCAGCTGGGCATTGTGCCTGCCATTAGCCCAGTGCTCTAGGGGCTAAAGCAGGAAGATTTTGAGTTGAGCCCAGCGTGGGCTCCGTCGTGAGACCTGGTCTCAGAAGGAGGATAGAGACAGACAGACTGTCTTGCCCATAGCTTGGCGTTCCTCCCTCCAACCTCAGAACATCTGTGTCTTAGGGAGCTGACCCTATGTCTCCTCACCAGCGCTGGCGCACAGGGAAGAGGAAAGCCTGGTTCCCACCAAGCGGCGTCGGGTCACAGCTGAGATGGAGGGAAAGTACATCATCCACATGCCCAAGGGGACCACGCCTCGGACCCGCAAGATCCTGGAGCAGCAGCAGGCTGCCAAAGGTATAGGCTGTGAGGCTGAAGGCAGGGCTCTCTTAGCTCATTGCCATTGGTGGTCCTGCCGAGATGGGGCTCAGAGGGGAGCCGCTGAGAGGACACTTGGCAAAGAAAACAGTGACCACAGAGGAGGAAGCCCTTCCCCTCTTGTTTGCCGGCATTCAGTTCATGAAGCCGGGCTTCATGCCTCATATTCTCCTTTGTCCCTGTAGGACAGAGACAAAAAGACAGTTATGGCTGGCCTGGAAAGCAAGTGACCATACTGGCTAAGGGCAGGACCACAGCAGACGCCACAAAGCCAGAGCTCGCCCCAGTGCGGTTGAGGTGGTGGCCTCATGGCAGTGAGGGCAACTCACATTTGTGCCATTCTGCCAGGTGCCTGCAACTGACATGGAAGAACAGGAGGAGGTCAAGAAGAAGCACCTTCCCTTCCACAGCAACAGAAACAGTGAATTTTAGGGCTCAATTTTTATTGATTGTTTTAGTTAGGGTTACAATTGCTATGATGAAATACCGTAATTACAAGCTGGGTGGTGAGGAAAAGATTTCTTTGGCCAACACTTCCACATCACTGGAGGAAGTCAGGACAGGAACTCAAAAGAGTCAGGAACTGGAGGCAGGAGCTGATGCAGAAGCCATGGAGGGGTGCTGCTTACTGGCTTGCTCCCCATGGCTTGCTCAGTCTGCTCTGCTAGGGGATCCAGGACCACCAGCCTGGTAGTGGTGGTATCTGTCACTCATTAAGAACCATCAAGAAAATGATCATTGACAGCATATAAAGTAATCACCGAGAGTGTTGGGGGGGTGCACACCTGTAATCCTAGCACTCAGGCAGAGTTCCAGGCCAGCCTGGTCTATGAAGAAGTCCAAGATAGCCAAGGCTAATGTTAAAAAAGTACTTTGGGGGCTGGAGAGATGGCTCAGTGGGTAAGAGCACTGCTCTTCCAAAGGACCAAGGTTCAATTCCCAGCACCCACATGGCAGCTCACAACTGTCTGCAGTGCTGATTCCAAGGGACCTGACGCCTTCACACTAATGCACATACAGTAAATTAAATAGCCTGTATTATGGAGGCATTTTCTTTGTCTTCCTGTCTTTTTTTTTTTTTTTTTTTTTTTTACGCAGGGTTTCTCTGTGTAGTCTTGGCTGTCCTGGACTTGCTGTGTAGACCAGGCTGGCCTTGAGCTCACAGAGATCCTCCTGCCTCTGCCTTCCCAGTGCTGGGATTTCAGGTGTGCCCCCACGCCTAGCTTTGGAGGCATTTTCTTAAATGAAGCTCCCTCCTTTTAGATGACTTTAGCTGTGTCAGGTTGACATAAAACCAGCTGCACATCAGTCTCTCCCAGCTTTGACACCACGTGTGTGTGTGAAGATCAAAATGAGTCAAAAGTCTAGTTGCAGATCCTGAGCCAAGCGTGGTCCCCTGCTGGGACAGAGCTCACTGGTGTGTGGTCAGCTTAGACATGGTGCCGTCATGTTTCATGGTGTCGTGTCTCTCCCAGGTCTCCATAGAACATCTGTGTTTGATCGCCTTGGCGCGGAGACCAGAGCAGACACGACGACGGGAACCAAGGTGAGTAGGCCTGTGGCGGGTGCTGGTGCTGCCCGTGGCTGAGGTGGGTTTCCTGTTTGCACTTTGTCTTTCCTCAGCTGATCTCTAGCGTCAGTATGTCTGGCTGCTGGATTTCTTTCTGTCATCTTCTGCTTCTGTGTCCCAACTAGTCTCAGGGTCTTCTACCCCAGCAACTCCTGTGGCAATCCCCCAGCTCAGGGTGCCTGCCACCTGCATTCCAGTCGGCCGAATGCATTCCGGGTGTCTCTATCTGTCCAGCTCTTCCACCTCGGCTGTGTGCATGGATAGGGTCCACACTGCCGCCCTTAGCCCTCACTGCCCTGTCCCCGAAGTTACAGGCATGCTGTGCATGAAGAGGAATGCTTTTCTGTTTCTTTTTCTTTTGTGACAGAGTCTCAAATAGCTCAGGCTGTCGAGCCATGTAGCCAAGGATGACTTTGAACTCCTGATCCTCCTGCCTCTACTTTCCAAGTGCTCAGATGTGGGCATGCACTGCCACAGCTGGCTTCTTCAGGACTGGATGTTTTGGGTCAGTCTTATGCAGCCCAGGCTGGCCTAGAACTCATGACATTGCATTCTGCTGCAATGTCACGACCACCTATGCTTCCAGGGTTATTTTTTACTGTGCCAACAACAAAACCTATTCTTATTGCTGGGATCAGCAGTTCCCTAGGCCCCTGGCATGGCGTGGTGTTAGGAGAATACCACAGAGCTCACCCTGACTGGCTGTGTGGCTTTGGTTTGTCAGTTTAGCCTTTTGTACCTCGGTTTCTGAGTTTGTATAGTGCCCATCCATAGGGTCGCTATGGGATATCAGCAAGGGGCTGGGGCTTGTGGGGCAGAGCAAACCCTTTTTAGGTGTCGCCCATAGTAGACATGGTGGCCTCCACAGAGTTCCATGCTCGCCAGGGTGGGGCCACCTGTCTCTCTTTCACCTCCCAGAATCCTTCCGTGATGATGATGGTAACACTTAGGAGTTGCCATCTGGAGGTCCAGTCACTAGAGGGCTTTCAGTGAGTGCCCGGGACGGTGGCTGTCTCAGGGGCCTAGTGCAAGCTTTTTTCTTAGCTCTCATTTTGGAGGGCCCGCCTTCGGACTTAGCTCTCAGAGGCAGTCCCTGGAGTCTCTGAGAAGACATGATTGTGTCTGACTTGATTTTCCCTGACTCCTGCCTCCAGCATGCTATTGTCATATGATGGCCCACGCATGTCGTCCCAGCACGCAGAGATTGAGGCAGGAGGATCTCAAGTTTGAGACCAATCTGTGCTATGTAATGATCCCTGTTTCAAAAACTAAAGGAAAAGAAACTTGAGGAAGACATGCTGTCCTTCACAGAACACGGCTGGCTGTTGAACTAACGGAGCTAGTGGAGTTGTTTCTGATGCTTCCTTTCCTCCGTTGCGCTATGACTCCAGGAGGGCACGGCCAGGGTTGTTCTGACCAGCGTGGTTTTCCCCAGCACTGTGCATTCTAGGATGAGGTACAGGGCTGAGAATAGTGTCTGAGGTGCATAAACTACCTGCTAATTAAATGACCAGGGAAGGGGCTGGAGTGTGGTCAGTGGTAGAGCGCTTTCTGGTTACCTGTAAGGCACTGTATTCTATGTGAGGCACGACCCAAGAAACAGCTAACATGACCTGGGACATCTTCCTAATGCTACCCTGCCTTTCCTAAGGAACCTTCCTGAGCCCCTGGCATAGGCAGGTCTTCCTCTGGCCTTCCTGGCGTCTGGTCCCCTCGTTAGTGCTGTCATCTTTACATGGGATGTCACTGAACTGCCAGCTGACTTCTTAGAGGCCGGCACAGAGCAGGCAGCAGCATGGGACTAAATGACCCACTGTCTTTTCTCTGGCCTCTACAGCCCACGGGAGTTTTCAGCCGCTTAGGGGCCACCCCAGAGATGGATGAGGATCTGGCCTGGGACAGTGACAATGACAGCAGCAGCTCTGTCTTGCAGTATGCTGGGGTCCTGAAGAAGTTAGGACGGGACCCAACCAAGGCCAGTCCCCAGCCAGCACTGACTGTCAGAGCCAAGGCCACAAGCTCTGCAAGCACAACAGCTACCACTGCAAAGCTGCGGCGCCCGGCACTCCCCTCTCGCCCTGGGCTGGAGAAGAAGTCGGAGTCCCTGCCCAAAGTCAGCGTCCTTCAGAGACTGGGCAAGGCTGCCCTTGTGTCTGAGGCACAGGACAGCCAGGTCACAAGCACCAAGAGTAAGTCCTCAGCTGAGGTCAAGTTCGCCATTAAGAGGACTCTGGTAGGGCCCCGGGGGAACAGCTCCAGCGAGAGCCTGGGTGCCCAGATGGACCATGCAGGCACTGTGAGCGTGTTCAAAAGACTGGGCCGAAGGACCTTCTAGCCGCACACGGGTGGGCGCAGCATGGAAGGGCAGGCGGGCGGGCTCCTGCTTCCATCCCTTCCAGCCTTTCTTGAAGGCTCACCTGTCCTCCCTCCCAGCTCTAGATGACACAAGGCTTGGCTCTCTCTGGCATTCATGCTGGTTCCAGGCACTTGGGGACACAGGCAGTTTTCCTGGTCTTCGATGTTCCTGTGGCCTGATCTTGCCTGCTCTGGGACTCTCCTTCTTTCCTGCCCTCTGTCCTCTGTGCACTAACTGTGGCCTTGGCAGATTCCCCTTTTCTACCTCTCCCCAAAGCCAGGTGCCCTGCCCTTTTCCTGTAATCCACTCCCTTCAGCAGCACCTGCTGCCTTGTGCCCTCTTGTCCTGGCTGCCCCACCAGAGCTCTGTGTGGAGGGAGCCCTTTCCCCCACCTGTGGCACCCCTCCCTCTGCTGTGGCATCTCCTCCTCTCTTCACTCTTTTCATTTTTCTTCTGTTTTCTGTCCCTGTGGCAAGGCCCGACCGTCCGCTGCATCCTGCCCGACCCTCCTGCACCTCTGGCCTCCCAGCGGCCCCCTCGTCGACGATGGCGTCGAGCCTGTAAAGACTGTTAGCTGCCTTCCAGTCCCAGGCTGGAGGGACCCCCCAGACCTCGGCCCGCAACTGGGCCACCTCTGTTTCCCTGCCCTGGCTGTCTTTTTTCTTTGGTGGGTGGTGGGCAGCAGACATCGGGAAGGGGAGGGGTGCTGAGGAAAGATGACAGCTATTTTAATATATTTTTGTGACTTGCAAACTGTTTCCTTCCCCCTCCTTCAGTGGGAGTCACAGCTCTTCTTCACACCAGCGCGGTGGGGTGGTGGGCACTGGAGACGGGCTAAGTTAAAGGGAGTAATGGTGACAGAGGAAGCCGTTCCCTCCCCTACAAGCTGCAGTGGTCTGTCCCTGTGGCCTCCCCATCGATTTCACCGTTCTCCTGTGCGTCGCAGAGGTAGAATCTCATTCTGGAGCTCTAGCTTGCCTGGAACTTGATATGTAGACCAGGCTGGCTTTGAACTCTCAAGAGACCAGTGTGCCTCTGCCTCCCAACTGCTGGGATTAAAGGCTTTTGCCACCATACCCAGCTGGCTTGCTTTCTTTCCTTTTCCTTTTCCTCTTCCTCTTCCTCTTCCTCTCCTCTCCTCTCCTCTCTCCTCTCTTCTCTCCTCCCCTTCCCTCCCCTCCCCTTCCTTTCCCTCCCCTTCTCTCCTCTCCTCCTCTAAAACCCAAGGAGGCCCAAACTTGCTTTATAGTTGAGGAAGTCTTAAAACATCTTTCTTTAAAAACAAAACCAACATATTTTCTGTGTATGAATGTTTTTATTCCTTGTATGTATCAGGAACATGCAAGGCCTTATGCCCTTGGAGACTTGGAAGAAGATGGCTACCTGAGACTGGACTTCAGGATCGTTGTGAGCCCCGGTGTGGGTGCTGGGAACCAGGCTTAAGTCCGTTGTAAGAGCAACAGGTGCTCTTAGAGATGCCGAGCCATCTCCTCCGCACCTGCTTTGAGTTTCTAATCCTCAAATCTCCCTTCAGATTTCTGACACTCTAGGTCTCTGCCAGTATGTCAGGGTTTGTGTGGTGCAAGCGCCTTGGGCCCAGGGCGTTCCGTGACACTCCAGCAGTGGCTTCTCTTTCGTTCTTCCTCACGGCACGGCACTGGGTAGCACAGGTCACCCTCAAGGTTGGATGGTGAGAGGATTTTGAGGTGACACCATTGGATGAATTGGAAATAAGGCAGTTGTAGCTGGGTGTGGTGGCACACGCCTGTAACCACAGCACTGGGGAGGCAGAGGCAGGCGGATCTCCTGTGCATTCAAGGCCAGCCTGGTCTACAAAGTGAGTCTGGGACAGGGGCTACACAGAGGAATCCTGTCTTGAACCCCCTCGTCCCCCCAAAAAAAGGCATCTTATGTATTTTATTTTTTTAGAGCTCAAGAGAATATTCTGACAGAAGTACAGACACAGATAAAGGTCTTAAAGTGGGACAATGGCCAAGAAGGGCTACACAAATAAAAAACAAATAACTAAATGTGGGGGGAAAACAAGAAAGACAAGGGGCTAGAGTAACTGCTGGCTGCTCTCCCAGAGGACCTAGGTTTATTTCCCAGTACCCACACAGTGGCTCGTAATTATTTCTAACATTGTTCCAGGGGATCTGGTGCCCTCTTCTGGCTTCTGAGAACACCAGGCATACACAAGGCATACACATTTGTGTCAACAAAACACCCATCACATATAAACATTATTTAATGTAAAAGTTGAAAAGAGGGAGGACTTAGAGGAACCTTTTTTATTCTCATCCCTTACATTCCAACGTCAGTTTCCCTCCCTCCACTACTTCCAGCCTCCCCCAGATCTGCCTCCCAGGGGATCAACCAAACATGTCATAACAAATTACAGTAAGACAAACAAATCCTCATATCAAGGCAACCCAGGAGGAGGAAATGGGTCCCAAGTGCAGGCAAAGAGTCAGACCTCCCCCCACTCCCACTGTTAGGACTCCCACAAGAGCGCCAAGCTCTGCCCCCATAACTCATGTATGCAGAGGACCTGGCGCAGACCCATACAGGTGTTTGTCCCCCAGTCTCTGAGCCCTGCTTAGTTGATGTTGTGGCCTGTGTTCTCATGGTGTCCTCTTCCTCTGGCTCCCTCCTTCCTCTTCTGCAGGGATTCCCTGGCTCGGCCTCATGTTTGGCTGTGGGTCTCGGCATTTGCTCCCAGCCTCTGATGACAGTTGGGCTAGGCACTGATCTATGGGTACAGCAGAAAATCAATTAGAAATCATTTCACTGGCTTTTTTTTTTCCTGCCGGCCATGTTTGGTTCTGTCTTGGATCCCTGACCTGTTCTGCCTCTGGTTCCTCCTGGCCATCCATCCTGGGCCGGGTTTGGGCTCCAAACTGAGTTGTATTTATAGTTATGTATATATGTAGGTGTTCACGTGTGAGACTGCTTATGTATATGACTGCACTGTCTGCAGAGGCCAGAAGAGCACCAGGTCCCCTGGAACTACAGCGACAGTCAGTTGTGAGCCACCTGATGCAGGGGCCTCTACAAAACCACTCTTACCCACTGAGCCATCTCGGGGTCCCTCTTTTCATTTATTTATTATGTATAAAGTGTTGTGCCTGCACGTACACCTCCAAGCCAGAAGAGGGCACCAGATCTCATAGATGGTTGTGAGCTATCATGTGGGTGTTGGGAGTTGAACTCAGGACCTTTGGAAGAGCAGTCAGTGCTCTTAACCTCTGAGCTATCTCTCCAGCCCCTCTTAAAAAAAAAACAAAAAACAAAAAAAACCCTGGGGTTTTTGAAGCCGAGTTGGCCTCAAAGTCACTATGTAAGTGTACTAGTCAGGATTCAGAACTAATAGAATGAATATATATACTTTAGGATAGCTTACAGACTGTGGTCCTGCTAGTCCAACAATGCTGTCCAAGAGAAGGCCCAAGAATGCAGCAATTGTTCAGTCCACAAGGCTGGGTGTCTCAGCTGGTCTTCAGTATACATCGGAATCCCAAAGAAGTTGGCTCTAATGCCAGTGAAGGAATGGGCTTGCCAGGAGAGGGACAGCAAGCAGGCAAAGAGATCAAGCTCTCTTCCACGTCCTTTTTTATTGGCTGCCAGCAGGAAGGCATGTTCCAGATTAAAGATGGATCTTCCCACCTCAAAAGATCTGGACTAAAAGTTGGTCTTCCTGCTTCAAATGATTTAATTAAGAAAAAAAAAATCCCTTGGATAGATGGTCATGGTACACGCCTTTAAGCTCAGCACTTGGGAGGCGAAGACAAGCAGATCTTTGTGAGTTCAAGGCCAGCCTGGGCTACACAGAGAAACCCTGTCTCTAAAAAAAAAAAAAAAAAGATAAAGCCAGCCAGCCAGCAAGCAAATGGAACCATTCCCTCACAGGTGTACGCAAGTTCTTGGTTTTTAGTTACGTCCAGACGTAATCAAGCTGATAACCAAGAATGGCCGTTACACTGGCAGAGGCTAGCCTTGAAGGCATGTTCGTCCTGCCTCCACTCCCTGTGTCACTGTGCCCAGCTTAAAACGTCATAATAAAGTTTTTCCTGTGGTAGCAGGGTTTGAGCGCAGGCTTCATAGATGCTGGGCCAACACACTCTCCCATCAAGGGTTACCGTGAGGCCATGCTCCCCGGCCTCTGCAGAGCAGCCCTGGGCTTGATGCTGGGGCCACCGTGTCTCAGATGAGGAAGCTTTGTGGTCTGTGGTCCCAGCTCGTGGGAAATGCTGGTCTGCTGGTTCAGCTGAGGATCACTCTGATTTGTCGCCTTCTGAACAGGGGCTCATTTCAAGCCAGGGAAGTCCTCAGGACTGGCTAGACACTGTATACATGCAAATCCTTTGCCATGGTGTTAAATTGGCAGAGTATGGTAACACTGACTGAACCACAGCTGTGCGAGTGAAGTGCAGGTCCTCTTCTGACACGGCTGCTGACCTGAGCCATCCATAGCCCTGCTCAGGAAGGAAACACTGAGCCAGCAGTGTCAGGAAGGAGACACTCATCTGTGGGTCCTCTTCATCCTCGGTTTCTTCACCTCCCTGATTCAAGCTCCGATTGCTCGAACTGATTTGGAGCTCAGTGGTCCCATCCCCAGGGTACCCCTGAGCACTCTGTGCTCTTCCTCCTCCTGCCTGCTGGGGACTCCCAAGCCAGGCTTAGTGCTTGGAGCTGGGTGCCCTTAGGCTCAAACTCCTGCAGCAACCCCCAGGCTTTAGGCTCAGACCACAGCCCTTCCTGTAATCCCAAGCTCCCTAGGCCTTTCAAGTGCCTGGGCTCTGAGCCCTGACTGCCTAGAGCCCCTGCTTCTACTGCTCTTCACTTCTGCTTATATTGTCCGTCCGTCTGTCCGTCCATCCTTTCTTCTCTGCATCCTACAGTCTTGCACATGCCTACCCTCACCTTACCTCACTATGTAGCTGAAAGCAGGCCTCTTCCTGAATGTGATAATTATAGGCCATTATGCCTGGCATTATTAAATCAAAGCTGGAGTTTATGAGGAAAATTTCTTCCTGAAAGGTATTTACAACTTATCAGAGCACCTTATAGCATCTGCTCAGACGACTGTGGGTCAGTGCTGGTGTGCAGGATTGCACCTTGGCCCGACTGTTCAGTGATGCAGAGAGGCCTCTACGCTTTACCCTTATTTGAGGATCTGGAGGGTAGACTTGGGGTCACTCCATCACTTTGTTTCTTTCTCTTTTTCTTTTTTGAAAGGTTTTTATTTTGATTTTTTGAGATAGGGTTTCTCTGTGTGGCCCTGGTTGTCCTGGACCTCAGCCTGTATACCAGGCTGGCCTCGAACTGCCTGCGTGCTTTAATCCCAAGCGCCGGGACCCAAGATCTGCGTCACCATTTCTGCCCACCACTTTGTTCTCAGTGTGGCCATCTTTTTACTGTTAAGAAAAGGAAGACAGGCTTTTGCTGCTGGGCAGATAGCTCAGTTGGAAAAGCACTTGCAGTTTAAGCGTGAGGACCTGAGTTCAAGTCCCAGCACTAAGAAGGAGAGGCAGCCAGCCTAACCTGATCAGTGAGCCCCGGTCCCTGTCTCAGAAAGCAGGGGAGATGCTGTGTGCTCACGTCCATGCGTGCGCCACGTCACACACACCTGCACACTCGCCCTTCCGTGTGCATAAAAGAAAAGCCAGGTTAGTGCACACCCGCAGGAGGAGGAGTGCCCTGAGTGTGGGCAGACTGCCCCACAGAGTGAGTGCGAGGGCCTTAAAAATACAGAAACGTTTAAATGGCTGCAGCACAAGTGCTAAGAGGAGACACAAGCAGAGGGAGGAGGGTGACACTGTCCAAGTGTCAAGAGTCATTTTTTCTCTCGAGGCCAGCTCCCCATTGCTAAGGCTGGCCTCGAGCTTTCCGCCCCTGCAGCCTCTCCAGGGGCTGTAACTGTTTGCCGCCGAGCCTGGCCTGTTCATTTTTGTTGGGTCCTGGGATGCCGTCATGTCCAGCATCGTCCGTCTAGTTTTCATCTGTTGTCCCTGGGGCACGGCAGGAGTTCTCTCAGCACTGGGCCTCCCTTCCCATGAGCTAGACTGGTATGAGGGTCAGTTGAATTCAAAGGCTGCTGGATACTGTTGGTGTCAGATTCTTGGGGACCCCTCTGCACATTTGTCAGTAAAAGGGTTCACACGTTTTCCCTGACCGAGCATCAGCCCTTTATTCAACTTGAGTGCGGCCAACTTGGAGAGACCTTGTCTCAAAGAACCCGACTGGGTGAGATATTTCATGCTTATAACCCCAGCACCTGGGAAA